TACTTCTTTCACAAGATCAATTGCATCATTGTCTCGCGGTAAAAAATTTTGACTTGCCAATATACTACTTAATATTTTGAATTGATTCTGTTCTGGTAATTTATATTCACTATCACTATCCAGAACAGACTTCAATAGGGAAAGAATTTTTTCCAATGTTGGTTTCGTTCTTATTCTCATACTTAAACCTTGTTCTACAATCAATTTTTCAAATTTAATTGATTGATTATTTTTCTCAAAAAATTTTAACATTCGAAATTTTGTTGCTATTTCTTGTTTTTCATTTTTAAGTAAATGAATAAAGATTTCAATGTGACTCATCGCAATTGCAATATTTCTAACACAAACAGAAGATTCATCTCGATGGTTAAAATCAATAAATTTAATTTCTTCTTTCATCAGACTTTTTAGTAATGTTTTAAATTCGTTTTCATCTACCTTACATTCATTTGAATCAATAATAAATACAAGGAATTTTCCATTGAATTTAATAATATTAAAATTAATCAAATGTTGATTGTTCTCTTTTCCTTCTCCTTCTTCATTTTTACCAGCATTCGGTTCATGTAAGTTTTTAATACCAAAAAGATATGATGCCTTTTTGTTAAGATAATCTTGAATCGTTTGTTCAATTGTTGAATAACTATTTTTAATATAGTTTTGGATAATTCTTTTGTATTCACTTTGAAGAGTATTTTCTTCATTAAGATCTGTTTCATTGATAGTAATGTACAACGTTTCTAACGGTTTCTTATTTTTTTCAGTTACCATTTCGATATGTTCATCCGTTGTGTTTGTCATTTTTTTGCACCTAGCAATTATATATAAGAATAAATTGTGATTGATAATACTGGTTCATTATCGGTAAATGAATCAAGTTATTAATTTCGTTCTGGTTTTTGGGAAAAAAAATTTACCAAATTTTTATTGTTCTTTGTCCAAGAAAAAATCTTCATTAAAACGCGGTTCTCCTCTGTTTTTTTCAGTCGCAGGAATTAGACTATTGCCTCGGCTTTGTGAAAAGGCCTGAACCCATGGTATTGAAAAACCGAGTGAAAGATCTGACTTTTGTGTTTTTTTGAAACTGGTCAAATTCGTAGTGTTTCCGAAAGCGTTTGGATGCCACATTGAAAATCAGAATAAGTGGTCTGAGTTATAGCGTTTTTTTTATAACCGCGGTTAACCACGATTGTTTTATAGGTGTCCAGAATCAGCAGAGCTAGCTCAGTATTATCAGGCCTACCTGGATTTTTAATAGTTCTACTGCCCCAAAGTCACCTTACACCAAAACAGCGCTTAGCAGTGAGTTTCTTTTTTTTAGAATGCAGCATATGGACAGTAGTGTAGAACTCGAAGTGTTGGTTCAATTGAAAGAAAAACTTCAAATGAACTCTTCAAGTGTTCAAGTCTTCAAATGAGATTTTTTCAAATGAACTTTCTCGCATTTTATCGGACGCATGCGCGGGGACCATTGAGGTATTTATATGAGATTCGCGCGGGGACAATTGTGGTATTAATGTGGAACCCATGCGGGTACTATTGAGATATTTATATGGAGTCCGCGCGGGGACTATTGTGTTATGAATATGGGGCTCGCGTGGGTACAATTGAGGTATCAATATGGGGCTGGCACGGGGACCATGCAGGCGTCAGACTATTTTTCAAAAATCAAATCATATTCGTTAGAAAATGATTCGCACAAAAAAACATGACATCCAGCATACGAAAAAATCCTGGATACGCCACTATTAAAAAGTGCAGAAATCTCCGCTTGTGAAAACGTTAACGATTGTTCTT